CACTTTACCACGCAGGTTGATGTCGTTAAATCCAATGTTTAAACCATGAATCCGTCTCTCCCATGTCAAAAATAAAACAGATTTCTTCAGATTTTTGTTATTTCTATTTTGTTCCACATCGATGCAGCCTTCATCATTGCCAATCTCTGCCGATGGTGGCGCCATAAGCTTTCCTTGGATTTGTAGAAATGGAACAATGTATGGGTTTCTGTAAATGTGCCGAATGTGCAAAACGCTTATAATAGTATTTTAGTAATATTGAAATAAGTCAAATAAGTTCAAATAAATATATGTTGTTCAGTGTTAACCAAAATGTTAGAAAGTTGTGCTACATTATGGAAAAAAGTGCCGAATCTTGTGAGGATCGCAAATAGTTTAATTCCAATTCCTGTATATATTGACATGGAAACAGAATACTCCGAATCGTTGGTGTTTAGTTTGGGCAGGTTTCAGTATTATAACTATATTTAACTAACTACTGTATCGTCTTTATTTACTCGAATCAGTTGTCTTCCATTTGAAGTCACATTGAACGCAACCATGAATGTCACTGGTTTGTATGGGTAGCTACGGTTTCTTGCACGGAAATCAGCAGTGACTTCAAACGATGGGTGGATATCACTATCACAGCTCTTAGTCAATGTATATGAACAGTTTCCATTGAAGTTATACTTGAGTCCATCAAATGTGGTTACATGTGGGTCTTTTTCGACTGTGGCACCTGTATAAATGTAACACATGAGAGTTAGTATTTTTAAACTGTCATTGTATTGTCCCATCCACTCTTATTTTATTCGCAGACAATGAATAATAATGAAATCACAAAGCATCTATGCCACTAGACTGGCAAAGTCGGGACTTCTCTTTTGTTTTACCAGAAATAAATATAATTAATTGTCAATTTAGTCTTTTTAACGTGGTCGCGAAAAACTAGCTTGACTGCGTAACTCAGCGGTCAATTTTCGCGATCACGCTAAAAAGACTAAAAGAACACACACGAAAAAGTCCCGACTTTGCCAGTCAACTATGCCACCTGTACATTACATGCAACATGTGACATATGACTGTTGATGATTTTCAAATTATCATTCCATTGTCTATTTTCAACTAAAAATCAAAAATTAGTTTTAGTGCCTCATAGACGCTTATTATAATATGCGTAGAACTGTCATGAATTTGTTTTCGCGTATCTGTTGACCGACTTAATTAACTGATTATTAGCGAATTGCTGTGTTATGTCTGTCATCGTGTAGACCTATTTGAAGTTTTGAACGGAACTTGGCTCAGTGATTTGGAACTAATTACCAGATAACCACCGTTTTTTAGACTACTCATTCTGACAGTTTATATTCATAGTTATTAATGTAGTGAACGATTAATCAAAAGATATGACGTATTCAGTACTTAGTGTGATTGGCTTTATGATTGAAGGTTACGCCCTAGAGTATTTTACTGTTTTGTAATTGGTTAGAGTTTTGAAAATGAATAAAGAGAGTTTGAGTTGGTCTTGGCGAATACTCCACGACAGACGCAGTCGAGAGTCCAGTCCAGGGGCGAGCCTTGAGGCAGTCCAGTCTTGGGCGAGTCTTGGGTCAGCCTTGTGACAGTCTTGGGGATTTTTCCCCCAGGGCGCTGTGTCTTATAGAGTGCTCCAAAAGATCGACTAAGACGAGAGTTGAAACGTATTTCGTTGTGTGTGTCTTATTTGACTGTAAAGTTAAAGTGACTTTCCCGATCCCGTACCTCAAGGGGACGAGATAGAGAGACGAGACGAGTTTCCCCCCTGACAAGTGTGGAGAACCCCGAGAGAGAAGTTTTTCCCCCTGATAGAACGTTCATGATCAACCGACAAATGAAAACACGCACATAGGTAATATTTCTAGGTGAAAATGGACCAGGACCAGGAGCTAAAAGAGTATGA